ATAAGTATTTCTAAATAATTTTCGCATTAAATTGTTGTCAATCAGTCAACATTACATAAAATACCATGTTTTTTTACAGAATGTTTTCAATGATTGGTTTAAGAGAAAAACATTGTTGAATTCAGTTCTCCATATCGCTACCACTCCTTTCTAAAGTTAAGAAGGAATCAATGGTCCTAAGATGGACTAGATTTTACAAATATTGAGGTAAAAGTTATATCAAACAAAATTAAGAGTGGGCCCTATTTTCTATTATTTTCAGGAGAAGGGCCATGTAATCAATCAGACCAAGGGGGTGCAGCCAGGCACAAGGCAGGCAAAACACTTTATTTTTTATTTTCAAATAATACTCATAAAAAAAGAAGTTCAGTGGTAGGATTATAACCCCTTTGGCCTTTATTTGACTTGCCTTGATGATGATCCTGGCTATATGGCACCGTAGAAGTGCATTAGAATGCTCACTACGGCAAATAAATATCACAAAGCTGGCACACATACATCACCATAAATGGTCAAAAATTAAACATAAAGTAGTAAAAATCCACCATTTGTTCATTATTCTTGATTCTAAATTATAGATATTATTGTACTTGTATATTGTAAACATAGTTTAGAAAATTGTAAACTCTTTAAACATGTAAGTGTCAACATGAGCTTCTCTTGAAAGCCCATGGTGTCAATTATGTAAGATAGTAACTTCACAAATATCTTCAGTTGTATTCTTAAATGACCACATTCAAAAGATATAAATAGTAAATATATTAAGATCAATAAGATCAGCTTTGAGAGTCAGATTACGTAGTTAATTGTGCTTAAAGTCTGAGTTAAACATTGCCAAAAATAATACAAAAATTGCGTCTCTACTGATAACACAATGACTCATACATGACATGAAGATATTAGATAAATAAAATAAAAGATAATATGCGTAATAACAGTTTCATTTTGACATGGACTTCAGATTTTGATGAAAAAGCATTTTACATAAACATAGTTACATATAGCTAATCAAAACAAAATCAAGGCATTAAAATGACAAAATACAACCAAATGGTTACAATAAAAAATTGTAACCATTTGTAACAGATGCTAGTTATGTTACAGATACTAATGCGTAACTCTGAATGTCGAATGTCTATGCTAAACACCAGTCACAAAAATGATGGTTGTAACAATCTGTCACCAATCTTGAAATATAAAAGGAATCCTCCATACATAAGCGTCTGTTTATGTTGGGGCCCTGGATTGTCTAGCATTAAAAGTCTGATCAGTCTACTTAAATTAGAAGTACTATGTAAATAAAATGAAAAATGCTAGTCTAATATAATGACTGGTGATCCACTCAATTACGCTGGTTACCAAAACGGTTTGTTTTGGTAACAAAATGATGGAACATCGAAGGTACGATTTTTCTTGTTTCCTTATTTTACGCGTTGTAGGCAGAATTCCCACGACATTTTTTAAAACAAACTTGTATCAGTATCATATGTTTAAGAAATTGTACATATTTGCGAACAAATAGTTCAGAAGACAACAGAATCGTCGATTTAATTCCTCACTTAAGTTACATAAACGGTTTTTCGAAAAACAGTTAAGATCTGCACTTTTAACCCAAACCGTTTATGTAACTTAAGTGAGGAAGTAAATCAACGATTCTGTTGTCTTCGGAGCCATTTTTTCGCAAACATGTACATTTTCTAAAACATATGATACTGATACACGTTGTGAGAAAAAACGTTGTGGGGATTCTGCCTACAAAGCGTGAAATAAGGAAAAAAGAAAAATCGTACCTTCGACGTTCCAACATTTTGTTACCAAAACGACCGTTTTGGTAACCAGCGTAATCGAGTGGATCACCAGTGATGATGAGCATATAATGAAAATTTAGCACAACAAAAGAGCACACATATATTTTTTGTGTTGTACTCTAATCAGTCAGCACACCATACTTTGATGGTTACGAATACGATGCACCTGGTCAATGCATTCGACATATTTGTTGTGATAGTACCTGATTAGAGCACACACCATATTTGACTAATGTAGACCTACAGATCTATCTATCACTATTTTTTTGTTTTGTTTTGTTATTGACCCTGATCAGATAAAGTACAATAATAATAGTTACACTAAAATCATATATTTATAATATCAATATCTTGTTCTTTGATTGCATATTTGCAATATATCTGGGCACCTTTTCTGTTTACAACTGTACAAATGTACATCTTTATACATTTTTATATTATTGAGCACACAATTCATAAGTTAACAACAACAACAATAATAGTTACATCAGGATAACAAGTCCCTGAAATCCAAAACCAACAGGTCTGCATTCAGATAGGTCCCTAATTCTAGAATGACAGGTCCTACTTCTAGAATTACAGGTCCCTAATTCTAGAATGACAGGTCCTAATTCTAGAATTACAGGTCCCTAATTCTAGAATGACAGGTCCTAATTCTAGAATTACAGGTCCCTAATTCTAGAATGACAGGTCCTAATTCTAGAATTACAGGTCCCTAATTCTAGAATGACAGGTCCTAATTCTAGAGCTACAGGTCCTAATTCTAGAATTACAGGTCCCTAATTCTAGACGACAGATCCCTGTAAATCAAGAATGACAAGCCCCTCATTCCAAAAATGATGGGTCCCTAACTTTCCAGTAATACATATATCAGTTCAGGCTCCTGTGATTCAAAATAACAAGGGCCCACATTTCAGAATGACAGGTCTCTGTAAACTAGAATGACAGGTCCATATATTGAGAGATGACAGAGCTTGTGATGTTCTGACAAAATCTCGGGAGACTTGAGTAGAGTAATAATAATATGTTGCAATGAATAATAACATTTTGCATATCTTAAACTTTATTAAACATCCTCACATTTGGCTAATATATATTTGCAACTAAGCTCGGAGTACACTTCATATAAAAAATCATGATCTTGACAAAAAATGCATCTTGATTCTGAGATTATCTTTCATGATGATACACTGTTTCTCGAATACACAAAATGTTTATATAATAGGAATAAATTGGGGAATAAATAATCCTTCAGAATTGTATACTTTTAATTTAAATGCCACGTTATATCATTTAAACTTTCTCCAGCTGGGTGCAGTCTTGCAGCAAGTCCCATCCCCTTCCCCCAGCTTCCAGTGTTAGAGAGAATGTGTGTGTGTGTGGGGGGGGGGGGGGTGGAGGTTTGATACAAGACTATGCAAATGAGATCACTGCATTCTGTTTAATATACTTTAATTTCCTAAATTTTGAGGTATATAATACATATACATGTACTGTCATATGGTGATACACAACACTGAAGCTATACTTCTCAATGTGGTTAGACAATTATGCATTTGTAAAAAATGTAAAATTCAAGGAAATGTTTATAGCTATCAACTAATTGATAAATATACATTTGGTCTGAGCATTCAATTCTGTTTCCATGGTTTTATCATATTCTTTCACTACTTCTATGTTATAAAGAATAGTTACATAATTCATTTCATTATGGTTTGACCCCCTCCCCTCTTATAATGAAATTTCAATTTGTGAATTTGCTTTTCACTTGAACATTTAAAAAGTTAAAGACAGACTAATAAAATCATCATTTACCCCTCCTTCATAATGTAATCAACTCAATTCTTCTATTGACTGACTGTCAAAATAAAGTGGTATTTTTGCAAGAGAATCATAATGTTTTCAGAGTGCAAGCTCTCATATTTTTCACATTTCAGTAAACTGTGAATTTTCCACTCACTTAACAGTGTTTTAAAAGCATTGGAAATATTTTCACATTTCAAGTTAAAAGATTTTACATTCTGATACTATTGGAAAATATTCCATGTTTTTGTTTCACATTTTGAGTATTGAACATCACCAACCCATTGCACTTCAGCTGCCTTCTTCACATTGGAACCATTTTTCACATTTTCACATTGAGATTCAGGGCACTTTATTCTTAACTTATTTTACCCTTCACAAGCACTTTACTTCATATACCCTCTACAGTACTCATGTACTCTCTATACTAGAAATAGCTTTTTGACCCTTTCAATCAAAATGTGTAAGTAATAAAATCTTGTCTCTACTACATTTATTCCTGCCTATATGTCTGGAAATCTTGGTAAAATTTATTTAACATAAAACTCCCATAAATGTCATGAAAGGTCCATTTGAGATTTTTAAGAACAGCATCAAAACTGTAATAGTAAGAGAGTAACACGGCTAGCTAATGGAGTTTTAGGGTAGTAATCTGTTAGAATATATTCAGATGCTTGGACCCAATGAAGAGAATGCTTCTTCACATGCCCACACAAATATGGCAGTTTAGACTGACCCATCAACTTTCACATTGCAATTCAAAGGATGTGATATACTTTTACTTTGCAATTCATGAAATGTGACATACTTTCATATTGCAATTCATAGGATGTGACATACTTCAACATTGCAATTCATAGGATGTGACATACATGTACTTTAACATTGCAAATCATAGAATATGACATACTTTAACATTGGAATTCATAGGATGTGACATACTTTCACATTGCAATTCATAGGATGTGACATAATTTCACATTGCAATTCATAGGATGTGACATACTTTAACATTGCAATCCATAGGGTGTGACATACTTTCACATTGCAATTTATAGGATGTGACATGCTTTCGCATTGCAATTTATAGGATGTGACACACTTTTACATTGCAATTCACAGGATGTGACATACTTTCACAGTGCAATTCATAGAATGTGACATACTTTCACAGTGCAATTCATAGAATGTGACATACTTTCACATTGCAATTCATAGAATGTGACATAAACACAAAACTGACCCAGAGGCTGAGTCCTGAGGGCGATTTGGTTTTCATCCAGGCTGTTTTTTCAGGACGTCACAGAAAACAACACGACAAATGTTCAAGAATGTACAAAATCTCTGTGACGCACACTGGCTATTCACATTTCCTCACTCAGACTCGACTCAGACTTGATCTTCCTTTGAATCTTCATTGATCTGTTGGCGCTGCTTCACAAGTGTGTTGAGTAGAAATAATGCTTGGTCTAATTTCTGGTCCATTTTGTTCACCTGAAAATACACAGGAATAACCACTGTTTAATATCTTCATATTTCTCAGCAAATATAACAATAAAAACATGTTAAAATCTATAATGATTCTTCATTTAAATATACAAGCCATAATATTCAGATTTTATACAATATCATTGAACATTTCACATTTAGTTTCATTTTTCAAAGGTTCATATACATGTAAATTCTAAAATACTTTTTACTTAGTGTCCATGTACCAATCTTATCTTAATTTCTGGTATTATTGTATGTGTATTGGTAAGATCAAATCCACCCCTGCAAAAATTTTGCAATGATTGTGGAAAAAATGAGAATATTAGTGAATGTGTTTGTGTGTGGTGAATGGGTAAACAGTAGGTACAATGGTATTTTCAAAGTTTTAACAGGTTACAAAATACCACATTGTCTTATTTGGATAATGACAATAATGCCATAACCATTATATTATAGGGGTACCTGTACGAGTGAAAGTATATCTTGGATAAAGACATATACTTATATTTTATTACTATAGTTACAGACACATACATCACATTTAAAAGATACACTTTCAATCTTTTGACAAATAATTTTTGATAAAATCTTTGTCTGTCGCTGATGTATGTCTTAATAAAGAAAATGCATTAATTTTTTGTAATCATATTTTTGATCATGCCTAAGCAAACAAGACGAAGGCAATATAGCACTTTTTCAAAGTGTGATAAAAACTATTACTCCATCTTGAAATTCAATTGCAATGCCTGATTTTTAAGAAATGACATTTTTTTTATCAGAGTAGAGTATGTCAGGGTTTCCTGCATAGTACATGCCTAGTCACTTCATTCCTCATGAATTTTACTCTTTTTCACTCTATTATGAATTTAAAAATTGACCGCTTTTGACATTTCACTTATTTCACATACAGGATGTGGTACATGCTATTTGACAATTTGAATTGAGTTATCAAAATCAAAACTCAGTTCATCTTAAAGGTCATCCTAGATTTAAACTTTGAAGTGTGCAGATAAGAAAAATCAAAGTGTGTTTGAAAAAATCTTCAAAAAGTGTGCCTGCATGCCTATAAGTTCTGTTTATATTATCATGCAATCTAATAAACTTGATACTGTAATTTAGGCTTATGTAGTATAACAACTTTGGTGTCATTATTCACTTTTGACTAGATATTTAGAGATATGTGTTTACATGTAGTCATGTCATCTAATTATCTCTTGATTGGTCTTTCCAGCTATTAAATCATTAGTGTAATCATTAGAACACACCTATCAGAGCCATCTATTCAGTTAACTTTTATAAACCAACCCATTGCCAGGAGTCAGAAATCTCTGCTTCAGTTTTTAAGCCAGGCTTTGAGTATGATACATAATCTTCAGTATTTAAAAATTCAAATATTTATCTTTAATATTCAAGAGTAAGGTGAAAATATTCTACAGAAAGACATAGACATAAAGTAATATACAAAAGTATATGTGCAAGCTAACAACTCGAAGAGGGTTAAGTCTTGTATCAAACTGTCATGTAAACAAATGGGGGAAGTAAAATAGTTCCAGAGAGCTAGATGTAAGACTACTCAAAACATGACCAAGATCAAACTTGACTAAACACAGGCCTATAAAAACTAGCACTTTTAGAAAATTATTTCGGATATGAAACTTAGTTTTTCAATCATGTGGGGATCAACTTTTGTAATCATTTTGTTTACATGTTATGTTTTTTTCAGTTGATATTTGATATAACTTGGTTGGTAAAAGGAAAGTCCAGCCACAAGCCATTGTGACCCCCACTGCTCACCTCCCCTTATGTTGATAAAACACATAAGGAGGGGGGGGGTCCAGAGTCTTGAAGCAAGACTAGTTAAACTATTACTTTTTAAACAAATTCTGATTCTGACAGTTGTTAGCAATTTCAAAGACCTTTGGTCAAAGAGATAACTGGTCCTTGAGATACGAAAAGTGATATCCCTTTGAGTGATTTTTCTTTGATTTTAAATAAACCAAATTATTCTAGCAAGTAATATATCTTAACCGGCCCTTAGATGATGTTTTTCATGTTGTTTTGAAGTTTGGATTGTGGCTAATGAAAATATAAACTTCCAAAGATTATAGTTTACAATACACTTGTCTCCAAGGCAGATTAAAATAACATTTTTTAAGTCCTAATATGGTTTTGCTTAGGATTGTTACTATTCAGTTAATTAAAAACTGTATGTTTGTTTCCAAATGTCTATATATTATAACAAATAGCTCATATTGTTACATTAAAGCTGGAATATAAGAAATTAGTCATTTCATTTTTATCTGTAATATTTGAGAAAATATACAAACATATTTCTGCAAAAAAGATGAAATGAAAAACGTTTGAATCTTCATTCATTGTGATACCCGCTCCATCTTTGTCTTGAACCTTTCTTCACAAACAACAGATAAGAGGGGATGGGTAAGGTGGAAAAGAATGTTCAATCCTAATTATCATCATGCATTTATATTTTTTTACCTAAGGACTTGAGGAAATGTCCATGCTCTACCTTAGCATAATCACAATCAGGGCATACACAAAGCAACACCTTACGTAATGAAGAATAAAGTCTCCCAACGAAAACCTACACTGCTGATCAAGTTTCACCAAGACACATGTATCAACCTGAATGAATTTCATTATTCTTTGATTTCATTTCACTGAAATAATTATGTATATTTATGGCATTTCTACCTATTGTTGACGAGATAATTCCGTTAAATAGCGTGTAATGTGTCAGACCCATATGCCAGCTGCAGTCCCCTCAATAGTAAATTATAACAATTTCCACCGAAATTAAAGTGTGACTTTTCCAGAATAAATCTCCCTTATTGTACATGTCATTGAGAATTATGTGGAGCCTTTGTGAATTCCTAAAATGATTACTTGCATTGTTAGGCCGAAACAAAGACACCTTAATCGAATACAAAGGTATTTACGAAGACATTTTCTCAAACTGGTGGCAAATTATGACAATTTGGAGATTTCTCATTTATCATTCCTCTGTAGGTTATTAATCTTAATTCAGAATTTGAAGAGGTATGAATCTACTTAATTCAAATCTAAATCTAAAAACATTTTACTGTTAAACGAAATAAATTATGTTAGATAAATAAATGCAATATACAATAGGTTATTTTTGGTCATATTATAGAATTTCCAAAGCAATAATGACTCTAATAATAGAGATTAAAAAGTCATTAACATCTCGGTCTCTGTGTATTCTTGGATCAAAAAAAAGGTTTACAGCCCAAATCTGATGACATCCTCGCTGCAAGGATATCTTACAAGTATATATATGAATTTAAGCATAAATGAAGTCCTTTGAAGAAGGATGATCTGATGACCCCATAAAGGGAATTAATCCAATCACAACTCTCAATAATCATGGCTCACAATTTTCAACTTTATTTAAGTATACTCAGATCCCAATCCTTCTTTGTTTTGGTTATGATACCTTAAGGGATTGGAGCAAAATCTTTGTTAGTTTGTCCTACAATGGGGAACAATAGACAAGATCGAGGGGAATGGATGATTCAAAATTCATCTTCTGAAGTCATGGTGACCTTTTGGTCAGAACCGGGCCAAGGTTATGTCTAAAAGGACGCACGGCTCACACTTGGGTATCTAAAAGTTCGCACGCTTCTGTATACTGCAACAGTTGACTCCCTTGAGCAAAGTTAGAATTAATTTTTATCTTTATGCCTTTAGGATGTGACTATTGTTTGGAATCATCCTGGGATTTTTAAAAAAATCTGAAGACTGCATTAAGTATCTCCTGTGGAGTTTCTAAAACAATTTTCCTCAAAAATGTTACCAATTATGCACAGAGTTTATCAGGGGAATTTCCAGGTAATAAATATAGCATGGCACTGTTATGGTAATAGCAGGTATTGTGTTTCATGGACAATAGGTCCCTAATAGATATGTGAATAGATCAGAGAACAACTTACAATTTTTCTGTTGTCACAAGCAAAAGGTGTCAAGCAAACCTTACGTCCAAATATGGATCATTGTGTCATTTTTCCATTTAAACGTAACTTTGAAATACCATTAATAAAAAAAATAAAATAAAACATAAAAATAAATCAAATATGTTAAAAAACGTACGAAATTATGATTTTTTGTAATTCAATTTCCTTAAAATCAAGGAAAATTATTTGAAATAAAATGCAAGGACGTCAGGGTGTGGCCTGCTACTTGAATTTTATTATTACTAACATATAGCTATGGTACCTGGACTTGCAGGGACAATGGTTAAAATAACTTTTGACATTTTGAATCAGTTTGCCAGACAATGCATTACAATGAACAAAGTTAGAAGTGTAAATAATGGAAAAGTTTCATCAACAGGCCACACGTTTGGTTTATAGGCATCAGAAATGCTTTGATTTGTTCTAACAACTCAACTTCGCACGCTACAGTCTTCACTGCGTTCATGTTTCCCTATTCTGAAAGTCTTTCTCAGCAATTTCTAGAAAGAGGGTGGGGTAGGGTGGGAGGAAACAAGATACCCAACAAGCAATTTTTTCACCAAAAGGATATCAAATGTAAAATTGCAGCCCAATATGCTGGTGTGGTATCAACATGATATATCACTGGGCTTTCAAAAACAAATAAAACAGCCGTTATTATAAAAGTATGTAATTCAAATCATCAAAAACACTTCATGTGTCAAAATGATATGTTTTATTGTTTCAAAATACACGAATAATGAAGCAATCAAAGTTGAAATTTTACCAGGTTCATGGGAAGGGCAGATACGTACTCTGTATTCAAATTGATCCCCATTCCACTTTCATCCTTAAAGTTACAGGACCAGTTCTTAAAGGCCATTACAACCCTCATATATCTTTTTAACAGTGTAATAATGTCAACAGAATTTAATTTAATTTGACATGGTGATTTTGAAAAGTGAAATTTTTGACTGATGATTCGGTATTTAACTCAGTGAAGGATGTATGAAATTATAATATGCCACAACT